AATATGTCTCTCTTCTTCTATGATCTAGGTGGCGTTCGAGGGCTTTTTTGATCACCCAACTAGAGGACACATCAGAATAGATAACATCCACATGAGCAGCAGCATGGAGCTGGAGGAGTGCACACGTAAGTCTCGTAACCTTTCTGTATACCTCTCTCTCCTTTTATCATTGACTCAGTAAAAGCACAGACATTCAGTCCATCTGTCTGTCTTTCTTTCTCCTTCACAACCTACTGTTTTCATAGTAGACCGGTTGAGCGAAAGAGAAGGGATAACACTCATAATGTTTCTCGTTTACACACAGACACACACACATACATAAAGAAATATATATATAAAAAAAGAAAGTGGGCCACAAACGGCCTTTGGGCATGGATTCTAATCTATGTTTCATATCTCCCTCTCTCTATCTCCCACCGTTTTATGATTCTTTCTTTCATTCTTCTTTCCCTATCCCTTGTCTTTCATTCTCTATAGGCCATAAGACGTAAACATAACAAATAAAAATACTACTTGTGCATGTAGGTATTCTGTGGGAAAAATGCTTGAGAGACTATGTGTTTGCCTGTCTCTCTCTCTTTGCTTACACACAAACCGGCCATCGAGACTGCTGTTGTTACTGATTTACTTCATTTATGGAAGCTTTTGTTATTACTGTCAGAAAAATGCAGACTTACTTGAAACACAGAGACTAGACACAGGATTAGCCTTTAAATCCTTCACATATTTCCCCATTTGACATACATAATTTTCTTACCCATGCTGCCACACACACCCACACTCTTCTCTCTGGGAAGTAATGGGAATATTGTTATCATTTAATGTAGCGACACAGCCTTTCACTCCGCACAGCAGGATAGTGAGCCTGATGTGAGCACACACACATACACACACACTAATGTAGAAGGTCATGTAATGACCACCACAGTAACATAACAAGCTTAAAACACTTCAAGCTGGTTCTCTTTCAACCCTGTTAAATGGAGCCTCGTGTGAATCTGAATTATCTTTGTCCAACTTATTTTTTTTTTTGTCTTACCAACCACAATAACATTGAGGCAAGGTCTCCGGTTGCCCTGTTGGTCACCTCCTCAGCTCATAGTATGTTTAAATAAGGCATAACGTATATTTGTTAAGTCTGGGAGTTTTACTGATTCACAAATAAAGATAGATTTAGTCATGAGGAATAATACTTAGCACGTAAAAACTGTACTGTACCTTAAGGGTTGGGTTTTTTCCTTTAAGGCTTTAACCAGGTGGATTGGGTCTAATGAAAAATGATGTCCAGTTGCATCATTGGAATTGTAGGATCCACCATCTTTAGTGTCTTACTCTGTCTTGGAACTTTAAGTCAGGATATCTTGGCCTTATTTCAACGTGTCCTTCACAAATCCCCTAAATTGCTGGAACACCTCCTGAATTTTTGAAATGACTCGGTCAATGGTCTTAACTAGATAGTATTTATTTTCGACTGTTATCACATATTACATTTGGTATGATTTTCTTATGCCAATATTTATTTACTAAATGTATTAAGTGTCTCATTTCAGTATTGCATACATCCATATTACTATGATTATCCAATAGGAGACATGCAACAGACGAAAGAACAAGAACGTATTCTCTCGACCCACTGTTGCATCTTCTTGCCATTCTGTTTGTGTTTTCCTCTGCGTTTCTCTTCTTTTTCATCTCCCTTTCACTTTCATAATAGATGATGTATCCTCCGGCAAATAATAAACAGCAGTACATTTCAGTCCCTGTTCCCATGACCCTTAAACTTACCTCCAGCCTTCATTCCCAGTCCTCTATTTCCCGTTTCTTCAATCTTTTCACCCTCCATCTCTCATCCACCCACTTCTTTCTTCTTCTCTACCCAACATGTCTGCTGCCATTAACATTTGTTTGTCACCTTAAGAAAATAGAGAGCAATCTCGGGAGGGCGAAACGTAGAATGACAAAGCAAAAATATGTTATAGTGTGAGCAAGTCTGAAATGACTGACACACAAAGACATAGAGACATTCAGGGAGGACACGCTTCCAGCCCATTTTTTTGTTTTCCTCTCCATTTTTAAAGACTGTCATCCAGGAAGATGTATGGGGCCTTTAGACTCCTATATTATGTCGGAACTCAACAAATCTTTATTGATTTTCTCCAAAAGAAGAAACAAGTGCATTTGCAAAACAGTGCGGCGTCTTGCAATTGTGCAATTCAGCTGTACTGAAATGCATTTCTGTTAACAATCATCAGAAATATAGTTGTTCAATGTCAATTTAATCATGGAAATATGCCACCGTACACTGAGACCAAGCAAATCCTAGGGATGATGTATTTGGTGCTGTATTTCATATTGTAAAATGCTACTTTAGAATGAAACAAATGCATTTAATCAAAGTCTTGTCATGCATCATATTTTATCCTTATGGTTTAGCTCATTCTGGACCTGTAGGGGCTTGTGGATGCTTACCGTTCACTCTTATGCTGAACAATAATGTACAAATGTAAGCACCAAGATGAAATGAAGTGAAAAAAATGCACAATATATATATACATATAACAGATATTACCTTATTATATTAATGACAACGTTGAGTATAAAAAAACACTGAAAAGTCCCCATGAACAGGAGAGTTAATGTTTGAACTCACACCCAGTATGAGCCATCTATATTTTAATCACCAACTAAGATGATCTCACATTGGTTTACAGCAGCCCTTATACCTTCATTGCTTTATTACACCTATCAACTACTAACTTTCATCATTCATATTTCTTTTTCTCTCTCTCTCCTACAGAGCCTTTACCTGCCTTAACTCCTGGCATAACCAGTAAGTTCTTCTTCCTCTTCCATGTGTACTTCCTGTGCAAAATGTCTGTGCTTTCTGCTTGTTGCTTAGCTCAGCTCGCAGCAACTGCACCGACCCTGAGCGACCTTGAAAGTGCATTATATGTGTTACAAACAGCTAGATATACACAAACCACACTTATTATAACTGAGAACGTTTCCAAAATAATCCAACTCTACTTGAATGATGCATCTACATAACTATGCATTTCATACAAAGTGTGGGACTTTGTCAGTTAATTTACCTTTTTGGATGGATGTAGACTTTTGCCACATTTAAGAAAGATATGGTGACAATGTTGCAACTTGATGGAATGGATCCACTGCATTGTTCCAGCATGACTCCCTGCATGCTGGGCTGACACTCTTGGTTGAGTAGTTTGGTATGTTCCTCAGTGAAAATAAATACTATTTTCCACTACATAAACAAATAGTTCCACAAGATAGTTTACTGCAGCAGCAACATTGGCCGACTAAGTACCAAGGCTAGGGTTAGGGTTGCACATACCAATACAAGTCTTTCATGCTACCATGTATGCAAGATCTTGTTGTGTGTAGGTATTGAATACAGTGAGTGTGTTCAGACCCACAGTCAATTACTGAAACATTGTTCATTTTGTTTGTTCGTATGGTAATTTACTTCAAAGGTGACATAGGAAAAGAAGGGCCATTGGTGAACTGCTCAAACAAAGTCCAAAAGTCTCCATCTTGCCTTTTCTCTAGTTTTCAATTAGTCTAAAAGGATTAGGGTAGAACCTGCCTCTGCTGTCCTGATCTCAGTCAATCCCAACGTGTTCTTAATTGTAGAGAACAGCACACTCGCACCTCATTGATTATGTGTTGCTGATTTGCAATCACCAAGTAAGCTTCTCTGCATTCCTTCATTCGACACCATAGAAGGAGCCTTTCTCATACAATCTATCTATTTTTCCTCTTTCTACTTTTTGCTGATTCTTTACTTCAACCTCAAATATTTGGTATTCATTCCCTTCTTACCTTTGTTTCCAGATGTTATTACTTGTTACTCCTATCCTCTTCTCACCTCAATCTACAGTTTAACTTTGCCCAGCAAGATGGTGCTCCCACTTGAATTAAATTCAGAGCTATTCACCATACTTTTGTATATCCTCTATCCTCAAATAGACCTGTCTGAAAGCAGATATAAAGGGCGTAGGTAGATTATGCTACTTATTTTCAAAGTGTGGGTCAGGTCCTAAAAGGCTACTCCCCAAAGATATGAACACTGGTGTTTTTACTGTTAGGAGACCGGGCCTTACTGACATGGAATGATAACAAAGTTGGACGACGTACACAAAAAAAAAATGTATTTGCCCAATCTGAGCACTATATCAAGACTTGTCACGGTTAAGATCAAATCTATTTATTTTACTCCTTTTTACCACTCTCTGGGACAGACTTTTGTTTTGAACCTGGGGGCTAAAGCACAACAATCAACAACATTTGGTTGATTTAGGTCCATAATACAGATCCTGTGTGCTCTATTCAGTAAGTTCAGTATGTGTGTGTGTGTGTGTGTGTGTGTGTGTGTGTGTGTGTGTGTGTGTGTGTGTGTGTGTGTGTGTGTGTGTGTGTGTGTGTGTGCGTGCGTGCGTGCGTGCGTGCGTGCGTGCGTGCGTGCGTGCGTGCGTGCGTGCGTGCGTGCGTGCGTGCGTGCGTGCGTGCGTGCGTGCGTGCGTGCGTGCGTGCGTGCGTGAATAGATCAAAAACATTCTTTGAATACTGTGGGATACTTGAGCAGCACTTCGTTTTGTTCACCACAATACAATTTAATAAAAACTAAAATACCATTCCCTAAAATAGCAAAAGCCTGACAAGGAAAACTCACCTGACTCACATACAAAGTATTTGACCTAATGCTCGCGAGTTCCTCAGATTATTGAATTCTGTGCGGGTATCATATGACTCGCAGCATGACAACAGTGTCAGTTCTTGCATACGTGTGTTTTCATGAGACTGAGCCCCGGACTTAAGGATTACATGTCTCCTGCGAGACGCCTGCTGAAAAGTGATCTAGAACTAATACTGCCTATATAAGAGGATTTATATAGAAGTGCCTTGGTTGTGATATTTGTTGGTTTGTCTAGATGTGGATAATTAGAGTTAGTGTTTGAGTTGTGGCTTTGGACAAGCAGGGTTTCTGTCTTTTTTACCAACATTATTCAGATGAAAGGGGGTTGAAACTGGATTTTAAGTGATAAAGGCATACAAAGATAAATTAATTGAACAATTATTTAAATTCACTTAATCCAAATGTGAGGAGGAAAAAAGTGATCAAGGATCAGGGCAAGGTTGTAATTGTATTTTCTTATAATCCTCCTATAATCTTCTTCTATGAAATGACATGTGCCCAGTGGAGAAAAACGAATACAATTATATTTAATAAAATAAATCAATTGACCCAAAATCGCATTAAGGGAGAACCTTCAGGAGGACTGGAGACCAGATTCTAAATGAAATATGTAATTATAGTCTGATAACACGATCCTCATTTCACAACAATGGCAGTCTCATTATGGTGTGACGGGGACCAGTGTGCCACACTGTTGGTTTTTTTTGTATCTATGGCAACCAAGGAGGCATTTGGCTTCTTGAAAGAAAAAGACTGGCGGCACATTGAGCAATCATGCTACACACAAATGGAGAAAAGAAGCACATTCTGCCTTCAGTTTGAGTATACAGAGTAGTTATAGATCCATGTTTTGAAGTATACCATTCAGAAAAGGACAGATTCAGTGTGTGAAGTGTCAGACCTTGAATGAGAAAGGTAGTAATTCCGCGATTCAGAAACTCTAGTAACCAATGTTCCTCGAAAGCCACACTTTTTTAGCTCGTTTAAGGAGTGGTGCTCTTGAGAAATTACTCCCTTTGTTCCCCAGATCCCTCCGTAAAAAGCAAAGTAACGGTCAATTTGATTTGATTTGAAACCCTCATCCATGTCTTAATCCAGTGCTGGGAAGGCTCTCTGTGCAGGCTGCTTAGAGCCCAGCTTTACAATCAAAGCTATTTTAAACCCTTAAAGAGTATGTCTGAACTTAAAAAATAAAAATGAAGCTCACTGGTTTCCTCCTGTCTTACTCTGCACCTCTCCTTCCTTTGTCCCATTATTATTGCTCTCTCGTCTCCATCTATTTCCTCTTTCCTTCGTCCTTTCTTTTTCTCTTTCACATTCCTCCGTTCTTTTCTCTGTCTCTCTTTCTTCCCCGACCTCTCTCTCAGCGGGTTTCTTTCACAGTGAGTTGACAGAGTATTGAAGTTTCAGACAAACCCTCTAATGCAGGATTAAAGATATCATGGCAGGATTAGCTCTCTGCCTTCAATTCGCCTCCCTCCCACCCTCTCTCCTCACTTTCTGCCACCCCTCTCTATTTCAACCCTTTCTTTCTTCCTGTAAAGCCTTCTCTCTTATCCTTTCTCTACCCCTGTAATTTCTCTCTGATTTCCCCTATTCCCCTCTCTTTCTTCCTCCACTCGACTCCCTTTAATGCCATCGTACCCTGATAAAAGCAGCTGCGTTCTCCCGAATACAACTACTCGAAACTCCCCACCCTTTGTCCAAATCAGCCAGTCTCTCGCATTATCAAGGCTTTGCATTCTCTGATCGAGTCCAACGTATCGCATGAGCCTCTGCGTGTCAATGTGCAGCTAATGCTTGTGACGTTTGCATTTTTTTCTGAAGAATGAAGACTGAAGGCGACTTTAGATTGAATGCAATTGGATGTTTAAATGTTTGGAAAGTGAGCTAAATCTGGAAGCTAAATCATTTGTATGCCTGCTGTTGATCTTACATATTATTTTTGTTGAATACCAGCCAGCCACAATACTTTTTAGCTCACTGCTGCACTAATTGACCATTCTCCCATTTCCCTAAGTTACTGTTACAAGGCCTGTCAAGCTTTCCATACTCTCATGCTTTGTATGCAATTTACTTTGATGACAATGTAAAATTAACAATTCAATTATTGGTTAATTTGAAACAATAGCCCCTTGATTTTAGAAAAAGCTTCTCATTTCTAGCTGTCATTCATCAATGGCGGCTAAAATGGCGGATTTGTTGATGCAAAGCTAATTAAGTTAACGTTAGCATCATTAGTTGGTTAAAGTGCTGTCCCCAGCTGACTTATATTAAAATAAGAAACCTGTAAAGGTGTTTTTGAACATGCACAATGGCTATATTGATATTTTACTTTTGAAAAACTGGGCTAAGCTCAATGTACCAGGCCAAAAGTACTCATCCTAACCAGATGATGATCCGTGTAGAAAATGCTAGTATTTCAAGAACAAAAGGTAAAGATGAAACGTGAGACATTACAACATAAATCTGTTTAGTTTACAAACTTAACTCCACAAACTGTTAGTAACTTACTTTTATTTATTTTTGTGAGCCCAGGAAGCAATCATTTTTGCTACCAATAGTAGACCTAGTTAGCTAAGCCTGATTAGCTAATGCTAAATGACACTTTGTTTAATCCATTCCTTATACTTTGCTTTTGGATTTTGGGAGGACTACTAAACAACATAACCCTACAAACTCATAAAAGGTTGAGTATTGCTTTAACTACAGCTCAACACAAATTCAGCATGTAGAGGAATCCAAAGCTTGCCAGACCTGCCCTGCTAGTTATGAGCTATGGTTGCTAGGCTATGATTTGACAAACACTATCTAGGGGCTTTTAGCGAAGAGTCAATTAGACAATAAACAACCTTTACTTTCCAATGCAGCCTGCATGCCTGCCTCCATGGTCCATAGTGCCAACCAGTAATGTGTCCTCCTGCCCTCCAGGGGGTGCCATGTCTGGGATGGAGCCCACAGTAGACACAGTGGCGGTGCAGCCTGTCCCCACCTACTGGTACTATGTGTTGGCAGGAGTCGCCGCTCTCTTACTGCTGGTGATTGTAACCGTGGTGGTGACACTGTGCTGCCATCGGTACCACTGGGCACCAAAGAAGTCCAGCGCTGGTCACCATCATTCAGTGACGTACCACAACAGCCAGCAACCCAATCAGCAAGGTCACCAAAACTGCTACCAGAACCAAAATCTCAGCTATAATCGGATCCAGAGCCCCAACCAAAACCACCTGTATCCAGCTACTGGGCCGAGCCCGAGCCTTGACCCCATGCTCACCATCAGAATGGATAAAGACGACAGCTATGACTCCCAGTGTTGAAAACAACCGGACACCATGTGAATGATAACATTTGATTGGATTGCTTTGTCAAATAAAGCGATGAAAGGGAGTGAAATCTCCCTCAACATTCATAATGGGCACTCTTCACTGATCTACATGGAAGAGACACTGCTGTTGCTGATGACTGATCTGATTGTCTGATCAGCATGCACTTTTGATAAAACTATATTGTTGGCTGACACTGGCAGAATGTAATCCTGACGTTACCATCATCAGGGAGAGTAGATGAAATAACTTAAATTGCCAATTCTGATGGCCTGATTACTTTTTTGATGTACTTAAGAGAATTCTGACTTCTACAGCTGCACCTTGACTGTGAACATAACACATGTAGTGTACATTGTCACTGTTGTAACAGTATATTTTCCTCCTTTACAAATGTCAAAGTAGGATATATCTGGCTGCAGTTTGGACACTGCCTGCCTCCAAATAACCTTTCCAACAGAGAAGGGATTTACACAAAGCTACACGGAGATAGAAGTCACAATGTGTGCTGCATTAAAAGAGAGAAGGCTATTTCTCTGGGGCAGAATGAAGCCTCTGCTTATTTGTCCACTAGCCTTTGAGAAACCGAGAGTGACAGAGACAGATTAAGAACAGAAAAAGGGAAGAAGTACGGATAGAATTAGTGCTGCCCGTCCAGCCGTGACAGATAGAAGGCTACAGATCCACCGTGGGTGGTGAAGGAGGAATCAGTGTTCTCTGTCTTGTTTACACGGCAGGGTAGATAGGATGAGACAGCTTAAGTCGCATCCTGCAGACCTAGACACAATTCCTCTCTGCAACACACAGTCTCGAATACATATGCACGGACACTTCGGAAACTTTTAAGTGGCTAATAATTGAGTCTTGCGTCAAGCCCCGAGTGCATTTTTCATTACATCCTGATATGCCTTTCTTAAAGTGTGCTTTAAAACTATTACCTCCTCACCTCCAGAACGAGGTTGTGCCTCAGTGTCAAATAGGAGTATGAATGGACAGTTTTGCCTTGATCTCATAGATAATCCAATGCCTGTGTCTGTTAATGTTCAACATGAGTATGTCCTGCACACATTAGACTGAATGAATGAAACAAATCCTAAATGTATTGAGTATCTTAAGATGCAGTTTGAAGTCTGTGCAAATGTTTTTGTTTTCTCCTTTGATAATTTAATATATTGTGAAAATATTGTTTGTGGCTGCACAGTTTTGCTTCTATTCCTTTCATTCACCATGGTATTTCAAAATCAAACTTATTTCTTGATGTCTACTTAATTATCCATCCAACTTTATTTGTTTGCCTTTTCTCATGATTTCCAACGTTGACAGATACGTTAGCATAACACTTGTGTGCCATGATGCATTTTTGCAATGTCGAGAGTACCATTAGCACTTTTTCGCTTCTTGATAATGATTATTTTGAAGGCTTTGATGATTCATTCTGACAATTTCTTACATTTACTGTGAATCTTAATATAAAAAAGTGGAGTAATGTACTGGTTGTGAATTGAATATATGTTCTTGCTTTGTTATCACATACTATTACAGTATGCCTCCATGTGCTTTTTGATGTTTAATAGTTATTCAATGTTTATTTTTATACTCACTGGCTGTTGTTTTTAAGGCAACAGTTATGTGGATTGTGTTCACTGAGATGATCTTAACAACTTTTTCTGTTATGTAAAATTTTGCAACAGCAAACGTTTTTCCCTCATTAGCACCCATCTTCAAGGTTAAGTGCTATATGGATAGGAAATGGAAGAAATTAAGTATGTCATGTTGAAATTATCCAAAGCATGAACAAAACTTAATGAATTTGCTTGGTTTTGGTTGAAAAATAATCAACTTTCGATCCACTGTAGTATTTCTCAGCAGTTCACCATCTTATGTTGTAGGCTACTCCTTTACATCATTTTGTTCATGCACAAATCCCCTAGCCCTTTTTTTTTTTTATCAAAACCCCGCTTATTCCTATTCTCCTCCCTTTATCACAAATCCTCCCAGCAAAAAAAACACAGGAGGGAAAATGAGAGGCAGAAAGGAGAGGAGAGCAAACTCTCTCAGAGGAAAAGGGCCCATTAAGCGAGCCCCCTTTGCCTCCACAGAATGCGCCCAGAGATGGAGGAAGATGAAAGAAGTAAAAAAAATACTTTTCTAAAGATAGATTTTTTTTCTTTCCGAGAGGAAGGCTAACGGGGAGGCAGGTCGGGTTTGGATTGAAGGAGGAGGGCAGGTTGTTTCAAACACAAAAGCAGATGAAAGAAGTCTTTTGGCAGAATAGACAGAGCGATGACACACATGTTCTCAAACAAACATAAACCAGTGTTAGCAGAGAAAATGCAGTCACTCCAATAGTTGCATGCATGTTCAGAAACCACTCTGCATCTCTCCATATTGACGTGTTTCCTCAAATTGTGTCTCGTTTTGTATTCTCGTTATTTTATGCTCGCACATCCATCCCCTCTGCCTTCCATTTCAATCGACTTGTGCGTGATTTACACATGATATGACTCACTCTAGCAGCCCTGTGCTGTAACCCAATCAATGTGGGTCTGAAATTCTAATGGAGGAATGATATATTACTGTATTTATGTTGTGCTACCAATGCACTTTTTCCCCCTTTCATTCTCCTTCCCTCCATCAAAGTTTTTGCAAGATTTGGAAAATGTGCTGGCTTGTCTTCATGCCGCACTTCTAAATCAGCCATCCCTCACTCTCCTCTCGCTGCTCCATCACAGACTACTTTGAAGCCCTTTAATATTTCTAATTAGTTAATGGAGCTGATTGCATTCATAAAACCCTGCAGTAAGCATTTCTAGCCCTCCGGCCATTTCTTTTTCCTTTTTTTCCCCTGCCTCCTCCTCCTCTGTGTCCTGGAGAAATATTACGAGTGAAAGCACTCAGGTCCTTGGGTCCCCGCTGCAACAGCGCATGGTGCCAAAGAACTATCCATGTATTTTCCCCAATAAAGAAAGCCCTCCCTTTTTATTCTTCTCTTTGCTAATTGGAGAGTGGAGATCAAATGGGGCTACGGGGAGTTGTAATCTCCTTTCAGATCCGCATGATGATTCTTCTCAGGATCCTAGCCTGAGGGCTTTAGGCCAGGATCATTAGAAAGTGTTCAACAGTCGTCCAAAGAGTGTCCGTCCAACCATCTCTCTTTTTCCCCGTTATCCGGATTATTTTGCTTTCTTTAATGTTTTGTCAAGGCCTGTGGTGATTTCATTTGACTGTGAGAAAGGAGAAGCTAGAGCCGGAGGGTCTGTTGTGAGACTGTACATTAACACAACCAGAACAAATTAGATGCTTTCAAGTGTATGTACGAATGTATAGTCTTACATGGAGAGTACATTTCAGTGAGACCTCCAGAACATATTATAATTTGCAGTGTGACTACTGGGATCAGCCATATTTATAACTTTAGTATCGGTTGTTTCACTGCTGATTGCCTGTGCCGCTCAGTAACTGCAGTACTTTAAATTAAAGGGGCCCTTTTATGCTTTTGGGGTTTTTCATTTTCCTGTAGTGTTTTCTATAGGTTCGTCTGCATGGGAATGCTCTGCAAAGGCTAAAATCAAAAAGTAGGGGCGTCTTGACTTGACTCCTTAGTTTACTAACATAGTGTCATCAATGTGTTACACTCGTGCCCCTATTGGCTAGCTAGGCTAAGGGGCAGAACATCTTTAAGCTGTTGACCAATCACAACAGAGTCTGCCAGCTAACCAATCAGAGCAGACTGGGCTCTGGTTTCAGATAGATAGTGAAAAAGAAAAAATATAAAGCACTTTTTGAAAATTAAAGCATGGTACAGTGGAGGCACACAATACAAAAATGAGCATAATAGGGCCCCTTTAAATAACATGAGAACCTTATTTTGTTTTGTTGGGTGTTTCAGACATTTCAAGTCATGTTCATAATCTGCAGTCAAATGTGGAGTTTATATAGCACTTTTTACTAATTTGTCACTTCATTTTGGTAATGTGACATCACACATTTTAGGGGTTAAGTGCATCTAGAGTTTTATTTTTTTCTCGAAAATCGACCTTGATGATGCCATTTCTATTAAGTGATTCAATGATGTTGTTATTGTTCTTTGATTTCTTATTGTAATAATGGTTTTTTTATTGATCAGAAAGATTGTTTGTGATGTAAATCTGACTGATCATTCAAAAGCATGGCCTCAGCCAGGGATGAACTTGGTTTAAACTTAAACTGTGACTAGCTTAGTAAAACCAGCGTTGAAGTGCTTAAACATTCGTCCCTGGCTTCAGCCGCCTCACTGTATTTACTCCTCTGACTCTGTGAGGGACATAACTCGACTTTATGATTGTCTTTTTAACTCGCGCTGCATTTTACTGTCTCGCACTTCAAGCTAATTACATATTGAACTACAGAGAAACACACAAAGCCAAGCGGCACCCATACTCCATCCCATAATCAAATAATTAAATAAGCAAATTCTAAAACATCAGAGAAAGACTACACTCCATTTAGCAAAGGATTTCTTGGTTCGCTGTTATTAACATTAAAATCCAATTGAGTCGCTTTCTTTTAGTTTATTCTATAATTGGATTTGGAAGTAAATTTTGTGTCATTTAAAGGATGGGATTCACTTCTTTTTTTCAAGGAAATTACCTCATATTTAATACATGAGCGAATATCTTAATTTCTCAGATAGCAGGTGTCATTCAAAGTATTAATTTAGTGTTATTATTTACAAAATAACAAGTATTGGAAGTTCGTAAAAGCTGTTTATAGGAGACATTGTCTGAATGCCCCGTTAAGATTGTCTCATAGGAAAATGACCTTATCTAACTAAGGAAATGAAGCTCTGTATCCTTTTTCCTATCAACTAAATTAGTTTTTCAACTCTTATCTTTGAATATCTATGACGGTTTCATTTAATATGTTTTTGGATCCTTTGCCCCAGCAATAAATGATTTTTACAGTAGCTGCCCAGATACTGCTCTATTTTTTTTCTTCTGAGGACTTTAATATCAATTTCCTGAACTGAAACTGAAATGAAGCAGAATTTAGCTTCCAATCCCTTCAAAGCCACGCACTTCAGCCTGCCTCAGAAATATAATGTGATATTTTAGCTTGTTGAATTTCATGGTCTTGGAATAAAAAAGAAAATATATTGTTGGGAATGTGAAGGTAATAAAAGTGATATTTTTCTATGAAACGGTTTTGTGTCCTTTTATTTCGCACTTCAGTTTCCCCTTTTCTCTCTCTTGAAATAACATGGTTTAAAGGCGATCTCTAGCCTGATATCAACAGTTTTAACAAGACCACTCACTCTTTGAGCTGTTTGTGTAGTTTGATTTCCAACTACAAATAGAGCTTGTGTGCTCACAAATGGATGATGCTATCACAACATGGTTTTTCACTTTTCAGTAGTTCTGACTTGACTGGATGTTTGAGATTAATAATATTTTCTGTCTGTATCGTTTCAACAGATCCCAGGCCTATGGATTTTGGAAAGGATCCTGTTTTCAACCCGAAGACATCCATCAATGGAGGTGAGGTTCAAAGTCCCCTTCTTGTCGCTTATTTCCTTAACTTTGTGTCCTTTCCTCTTTCCCTTCCTTTCCTTTCCTTCTTTTGCTTCCCTTTAATTTCATTTTTTTGTCTCACCTCTCCTTTATTTCCCTCCCCTCACCTCTCCCATATTTTCATTCCCTTTCCTTCCCTCTCCTCTCAGCCTGAGGCTGTACTGGCTTGTTTTACAAGTCTCACCCACATAATAGTGAAACAGCTCTTTAAGCAGAGGCATGCCCATGGCTCTGCTTTTCTTGTGATCCCACAAGAACAAGCCTGTGGCAACAGTGACAGACTATCTCTGCTGTGTCTGAGAGAGCATCCAAAAGTGTGTGTCTGTGTGTGCATGTGGGCTTCCTCTCCTCCTCTTTTATGTTTCGTAGCAGACAAAGCGAGACAGACAGCTTCCTCCTGGGCACCTAGAAAACATCTGTCTGTAACAATCACACTTTACTTCCTGTAGGTCTTTGGATGTGTGTCTGTTAAGAGTATCGGTGTGTGTGTTTCTGTAGTTGTGTCTGTGAACAGTATGTGCACATGCATGAGTTATTATCCTGTGTTTCTCCCATCCCCCCTGACAGATACAAGAAGAGTACTCAACCTTTACCTCGCTAAACAAGTCTGCTTTTTGCCTGTGTGTGTGTGTGTGTGTGTGTGTGTGTGTGTGTGTGTGTGTGTGTGTGTGTGTGTGTGTGTGTGTGTGTGTGTGTGTGTGTGTGTGTGTGTGTGTGTGTGTGTGTGTGTGTGTGTGTGTGTGTGTGTGTGTGTGTTGTGTGTGTGTGTGTGTGTGTGTGTGTGTGTGTGTGTGTGTGTGTGTGTGCGTGCGTCTGCCATAAAACACTCTAAATGTAGTACTTAATTGCAGATTGGCTTGTTCATGTGTATACTATACATTCATTAAGTGGATTAGCAAGATCGCTTATGCCAACTAGATGTGCACACAAGACACACCGGAGAGCTCCTTTACACTAATTCATTTTATTATGTTTCCAAACTAATGAAGTCTATAACAACAACAGTTCTGGGGATACTGAAACGAACATTTGTCTCTAATACAGTTGAATACATTTGTTAAAGTAAGACTTTTCTACTGTAAAGAAATACCACATCCTTCTCATACACAAGTCCTATGTAATGTATAAGACCGGTCAAATCAAATAGTTTTTGCTTCTACAGCTTGACTTGGTATGGCATAACCTTTTTCTTATAGTGGCTAGTTCAATTTCAGATAGTTATTCCTGTTTGATTGAGTCAGTTGTCCATTTCTGACTCCTCTCAGACCATTATAATACAGTGCAACCCCATTATTTCATAATGGTCACTTGTGACCTCAGTGGTGCTATTAAACAAAAGTCAAACTTACTCAATTTAAAGGAATATTCCAATGTTTTTACATGCATACTGTTGAGGCTTCTTATCAGTTTTTTGTATTTCTCAATTACTGTATTCTTGGAACCTGTTGAGTTGTCTAAACCTTTACGGTTAAGATTATTAATTTAAATGATGCATGCAATCATTAAACTTGTTATCAATGCAACTCAACCTTGGTGCCAAACAACAATTATGTCAATAGAAGTGTATGAAAACCAATGATTGCGTATAATGATAGGAAAAACACATGGACAACCCTCAATTACACCAGTGTGACTCACTTTGAAATTAAGTATGATTTGTAGCAAAATTACTTACATAAGCAAAACCATTGATAACCCATGCTTCCTGAACATAAACATGTTTCAATGATGTATTCCCTAACGTTTCCTGTTTTCTCTCCAGACTATGTCTTCCCAGGTTGGTCGTCCTTTTCCACCCCGTCCTCCTCCGATGTGGACCCCTCCTCCGTCACCCTGATGTCGGAGAAAGACAAGGACAACGCCTGGCTGTACACGCTGGACCCCATCCTGCTCACCATCATCGTGATGAGCTCCCTGGGAGTGCTTCTGGGTGCGGTGTGTGCGGGACTGCTCCTCTACTGCACATGCTCCTACAGCGGGCTGTCCTCGCGCTCCTCCACAACGCTGGAGAACTACAACTTCGAGTTGTACGACGGGATCAAGCATAAAGTGAAGATCAACCAGCAGAGGTGCTGCTCAGAGGCATGAATAGATGGAAGAAGACTTTAGGGAACTAGATCCCTCGCCAAAGTTCTTTTGGTTCTCAGTTTGGACAAAGAAAATATGAAAAGGAAGCACTATGTAATATTTCAATCCCCTACCTTTTATCCTGCTCTGATATCTAAAGGGGGAAACATTCAACCCGGAGTGTCCCCACCTTTTTGGGTGCCAGTAGGAACATTGATTTCCCAATGAGGCCTAAAGCGGGGGAACACCTGATCCCAATCCCTCCTCCCCACAGTAGGCCTACTGTATCTCCTCTGCCTGCAGGAGAGAGCCTGCTTGATTCTTAAAGCCTGTGAATGATTGAAGGAATGAATATGAATGACAGATCTAACATAGAATATAACCCACCAGCCACTGGAATGAAGCTTGTATGTTGATGGACTGCAGCACTGTGACAATCTGGACGTTTGGACCAAAATGACAGCACAGTCTTATGTGAGGTGTTCAAATGTGACATGTACCCATTACTGGTACTTTGTACATGGGCAATGTGAACTGTGTCCTCGTTGGCTTTAATTAAGAATGTGGCTGAAATGAAAAAGCTCCAGACTATTGGTGAAGACTTCAGCACCAGTGGACCATTCAATGTGTGTACTTTTGACTGAAATCAACACATATCAAGCGAATGCCTATCCCCCCCCCCGCCCCTAAAGAAGTTTGAAAAGATATCAAACTGAAATGAATCTAACGGTAAAGACTGATTTAAAAAGGACATTTTCTTTTTATTTGTTTCCAAGAGTTTTAGATATGAGTTCTGAGGCTTTCAAACGTCCATTAGTCCGCCACATGGCGCCGCTCCTTTGTCTGCCCCGGGGTCTGCGCTTTGTGAAACCAGTGGCATAGAAGAGTAATGGTGACTGTTTTGTTATGTTTTAGACTTGTGTCTGTTTGGAAAAAAAAGGTTAAAGAAAAGCCAGCTTCAGTTCGTAGCCGCCCTGTAGAGCTCTTACGCCATTTTTAGACTTTCTTTAGCGTTGTGTTGGACTCCATGGTCTTAACTGTTGCTTCAGTCCTTTTCTATTTTCACACATTTTCCATTGATCAGACTTTACAAAGGAAGGTAAAGGAAGATGGAAGATGGAAAATCAGAATTTTATTTAAATCTAACATGCTGTTATGGAGTCGTGCTTTAGATTCAGTATTCTAGGGTTTGTCTTTGGTATATATCTATATTTTTTTGCTTTTCAGACTGTATGATGCCCAAATGATGGACAGACACTGTGAACAAAATGTCAGTGATTGTTTTATCGCAACCTATGGATTGCCAAAGAGCTGTGTACAGTATGTGCACAGGGGGTCTGAACAAGTGTTAAAAGAGGCCGGGTGGAGAATGGACTGAGAGATAAATCACCCTGCCTTTTATCCAACGCTCTTATAGCGTCACCCCCCCTGAATGAAGGACGCTCAAAAAAACGGAAGGAGAAGGAAATGACTAAAGGAGGATAGTGGAAATCGTACCATCGACTTTCTTGGACACACAATCGAGCCTTAAGCTAACTACAGTAAACGCTGTATCGGAAGACAGCCATCGAGGAGTGCCAGTGCTGCTGATGAACAGGAGGAGACACACACACACACACACACACACACACACACGAACACACACACACATACATAAGTTAGACAGGAAGAAAGAGAGAGACAAGGGAATTATATGGTTATTATATGGTTATATGGTCGCAGCTGTTTCTCCGACAAAAATACATCTTATGTCATTATTTGGCTTCAGCTTAATACATTTTGTTGGAGTTTTTTATATCTAGTAGCGCAATGGAGCAATATCTCTTGTTTGTATCAAGCATCTATACAAGCATGCAGAAACTCACATTTGTAACAAGGGAGAAGGCAAGCTAGCAAGCAATTTGACATTATATGGGTATAAAACAGCGGAAATGCATTCAAGATAGTTGTTGAAGCCCTTAAAAATACACACAATGTTTGGTGTTGACAGAATGCTTATTCAAACACTTTTACAAATACACATGAATTGGAAATAGTCGGAGACTGACTTCTTTAGTGTCAAAATAACACATGCATTTGAAGTAAACTATCTGCAGTTAAAGATGTGCCTTGAACATTGGATTAACTTGTAATTTGAAGTCTATGAAAGATTTATATGAAACCATTCATTTATACAACTGGAGTTGCGCTGAGAGAAAGGTGATTGTCTGCCTGGAAATGTATCTGGCTGACAGACTGATAGGACAGTCAATAACACGAGACTGTCAGCAGGATAGGTGAAAGCTGACAAACCAGACAAAAAATACACACAGAAAGTATAACAGAGGAAGGAAAGTCTGGGGGGAAAACATGTCGCACTTGTTGTTTCCCCCAGTCTCTCTCATCTCTTCCTTTTCAGTGGTATTGTTTGGATAAAGCCAACAGGCCTAGTGAGATGAAATAAACAAAAGAAAAGTGGGATCATAAAAAGGTGTGGAAAGAAGATCGTGTAAGGAGAGATAAAGGGAGTGGATATAATAGAGAGAGACAGAGGGTTTTCTGTCCATCTAACTGCGTTTTCGTT